TTTCTCAAATACTATAGTTTATTTTGGGCTCTCCTTAAAAAATTTAACTGAGCACTAACCTCTACCATATCATTTGCTTGATGTCTCAAAATCAGTTACTTTTAGTGAGGAACAGGCTTAATACAGCTACTAGCATCCGAAGGACTAAATGAGCTACTGCAGGTAAGGCATAAAGTTTTGGTTTTTCTTTTTTTTGTCTTTTTTGAGACAGGTTCTTGCTATGCAGTTCAGGCTGGCCTTAAGCTCACTTTGTAGCCCAGGCTGGTCTCGAACTTGCAACAATCCTCCTACCTCAGCCTCTCAAGTGCTGGGATTACAGGCATGTGCCACCACACCCGGCGGTAAGGCATAAAGTTCAGTGCCTGCTACCAAGCAAATACTGGATGGATGAGTGTGATTAGTACTGTGTAGAAATATATCTAATATTTAGAAACCAGTTTAGAAGTGGCTTGCTCTGTTTTCCTAAAATACTTCTTAGAAAAGAGCATCACAGATTGTAGTTTGTCTGCCCTAGATGTATTCTTTTCAAAAAGGAAGGGCCGGGGATACAGCTCAGCAGCACAAGTGCCTGCCTGGCAAGTGAAAGGTTCTGAGTGTGATTCCTGGTACCAAAAAAAAAAAAAAAAAAAGGTGACGGGGGTGGGGGATGGGGGAATTTCAAATATCAGTGGTTTGGGCAATAATAATTTTTAAAGAAGTACGATTTTATAACCACCAATGTAATGGTTCCAGAAAAAGTTATGTGAGAGGGATCAGGACAGGATATTTACACAGCCTCATATTGTCATCCCACAGATTATTTATTAATTATAAGAAGAAAAATAAACTCTACATTGGGGACATTTGGTGGACAGCACTTCCACTGAGAAATAAAAATTTCCATCACTAGTACTGTTCGAACTGCCCCTTGTGGTGTGTTATAATGAAGAAGGTGTGGTATCACCTATATAGTATTCTCACAAGAACTAAAAAAGTTGACCTCACTTGACCAATGAGGTAACAGCCAGACAAATCCAAAGTGTGCAACCATCTACAAAACAATTGCTAGATTCTTCAATAAAAACAATTGCTAGATTCTTCAATAACGTCAATGTGGGGCTCCTTCCCTAAAAAGGGAAGCTTTCTTAAATTAAGAGTCTAAGGACATATTATTAATAAATGTAACATGTGACCTTGATTAAATTCTTTAGAGGAATACAACACAGCTGTAAAGATCCTTATTGGGATAACTGGTGAACTTTGCATATGCAACTGTAGATTGGATAATACAATGTAGTGAAAAAAAATAAGATTGTGACTCAATTATATTTCAGTTGATGTCCCCTTTTCTGAATTACTTTGGTATCTGGAAATAGTTGCAAGAGCTAAAAACATGAAAAGTACTGTTATGGTTGATACATTGTGTCAACTTGGGGAGTCTAGAGGTTTGGCTAAGTGACTCAGCAGGAAGCCAGGGTGCTTACTTTGTATACATCCTGAGCCTGTGGAAGAGGAGGGCATGGCGATTATGTGAGAGCTACATGCCGCTTAGGTGGGGGTAGCCTGTTTACAGTGTAAGGGAGGGAAAGAAGCTGCTTGCCGCCATTCCTTCCTTTTGCTCTGGCTGCTTTGCTGTTGGCTGCCATTCCCCACTTTGCTCTTGTTGCTTTGCTGTCTTCTGCCTCGGAGCCAAGCAAGTACGGACTGAAACCTCCACAAACTGTGAGCCAAATAAACCTTTCCTTCCTTCATTTTGGGTGTTGGGTACTTTGTCTCAGCAACGAGAGAAAAGTAACCAAGACAAGTACAAATAAAATATTTGCTCCATGAAATTGGATCAGAGTTTTTGTACGAAGAATGTGCAGTGGGTTTGTAGCAGCTAATGCACACAGTCCTGTGGGGTACAGGTCACTGGCTGGGACAACACGTGCTACATGTAGGAAGTGCTGGGTGAGTGTTAACTGTTGGCAGAAACCAGTGGAATCTAAAGGGGGGTCCTGTCTATATTGATTTGGGGGCATTTTGGCTGATGAGAATGGATTGCTAGTAAAGTCATGGAGACAGATCATTCTCCTTTTAGTTGGAAGTGGTTGACAGCGCACGCGGAGGGAGCGTCCCTCAGTCCTTGTCTGGGGTTGTGGTATATTAGTCCCAAATAAGGAGAAATTCCAGAAGACTGTGGCAGCCTGGCTGGGAGTCATTAAAGAAATTCAGTGTTTGGGCTGCCTCTGCGTTTCAGGGAATGATAGGAACCATTAACAGCTTACTTTTAGTTTCAGAAGCTGGAGATATTTTCATTACTGGTGTCCTCAGGCATAGACTTTTTAATTTAAAAGAAGAAAGTAAGTGCAGGATGGAAATTTCCCATCACCACAGGAGCATCTCTGCAGCAGGAACACAAGATAGTTTACCTGTCAATCTTAGCAGCTCGCCAGGTTATTCTGGTTATTCTGAGCAGCTGGAATGAGGAAGAGGAAGTAAAGTAGAAAGGCGAAGGGAGGGCTGATGATGGAACCAGGGTGAGTCATGCTTTTGGAAAAGCTGAGGACTTAATTCCAAAGTAATATTGAAGTCTCAGGTTTCTCACCTCTCTGCCTAATAATAAGGTGATTGTTCTGGCCCCGAGATTTCCCTGACTTCTTCCAAAGCCACAGTGCCCTCCTTTGAGCATCTTTTTGCATGGTGTTATGATAAATTCAAGTTGGCCACAGATTCTTCGTTGCTTTTCACAGAAGGAAGTGGATCAGATTTCTCCTGTCTAGGTCTGGGTTGACTGTGTGTCTGTCCAGCCAGCAGAATACAGCGCAGATGAGTGTGCTGGCTCAGGCTTCTAGAGGACTGCAGCTTCCGATGCCTTTATCTTGAACACTTATGCTTGGGACACTGCTTCTCCATTACACGGATCCCAGCATGTGCAGCCCAAGAGCCCTATGAATTGGCAGCCCTCTGGACAAGCCACCTTGGACATCCCAGCCCGATCATGCCCCTCGAGGACATCACGTGGAGGAGAAGCAGCCCAGCCAAAGGCAGTTAGCACACAAGGATCACAGAGTTACTAGACCAGACTGTGGTGTGATTTTCTCTAGAGCAATACATTTTGGAGTGATTTGCTCTACACTAAGGAATAACTGAAATAGGTGTAACAAAGAGGTTCTCAAGAAGGCAGATTGGGCTGGGGATGTAGCTCAGTGATACAACATTGGTTAGCTTGCCTGAGTTCTATTCTCAGTACTGAAAAAAACAGCAAGGCAGATTTGTAAGGCAGAATACCTAAGCACAGGAAAGAAAAGTTGCTGAGTTGGAAGAGAACTGTGAGGCCAGGTGACAATATTCTCATTCATCCTTTAGTGGGTTTTGACTTCCATGATGCTCAACACAGAAAAGAAAAACTCATTTTAATCCAGCCTCACCCCAACACGTGTGTTTCACACAGACCTTATTTTTTAAACAGAGTTTATTGTATTTAATACATTATAAAATTTGAAAAATTGTAGGAAAGCAGCACACTCAAACTGGAGCATCTCTAACAAGTAATAATTCTGGCCCCTTTGCAAAACTGATCAGTTTAAAAACAAAGTAAAGTTCACATCTGTGAGGTGGACAGAAAAGTGTCACTCCCATAAGAACTACATTTAAAATGTCAGGTCTAAGGTCCTTTCCATGTAATGTGCTCGTGACAGTTCTTCTGAAGTCCTGCCTGGTCCCCAAGCAGGGGACGTGAAACTTGCATATGCAAAGAAGATCCATTTGAGGTGTTCAAAAAAAAAAAAAAAAAAAAAAAA